CCCGCGGGCAGCGGACAGGGTTATCCGCTGCCCACGCGCTCCGCGGCTTGGCTCTGCTTTGCCCCCCCGTTCAGCCGCTGATCAGTTTCAGCAGCGGCTGAATCTGGACGCCAGTTCCGACTTACATACAGATTCAACTTAAGAACAAACCTACAGTCCCTATCTTGTACGTAACCCGGGGACTGCCTGTACTCCTGTAAACATCTTCTGGAAAACTCGACTGAGCTACTTTGCATTATTTCACTTTCATCCCAATTTATCAGAAGAGAAACAGCCGCTGATCAGTTTCAGCAGCGGCTGAATCTGGACGCCAGTTCCGACTTACATACAGATTCAACTTAAGAACAAACCTACAGTCCCTATCTTGTACGTAACCCGGGGACTGCCTGTACTCCTGTAAACATCTTCTGGAAAACTCGACTGAGCTACTTTGCATTATTTCACTTTCATCCCAATTTATCAGAAGAGAAACCCCAATTTTCATTTAAATCACTTTATAAATTTGTAATCTTTACTTAGATGATTGCATGTCTAATTGCATTTCAAAATCTAAAACCCTACTACCTGATTTTTAAAGACGCAGGTCATGAAAACAAAGTAAAATTAGCAATGGAACAGAAGAAGTGATCTTTCCACATTACAATACAATCAATGAAACAGACATACCTTCTGAATATCTGTTATATCTGTTAGTTTAATAACTTTATTTCTCTTTGAAGAGCCAGATTTGGAACTTTCAAAGCACAAGTAACTGAAGACAAAGGAAAGAAAATGCATATTTGGTATAATAATTGGAAACCAAAACTCTTAAAATCCTGACTTCTAAAAAAAGGAGCTTTGAAATTCTCTACATTAAAAACAGCTTTGCAAGCAATTATGTAAAAAAACATATTTCCGGTTATGATTTAACATTAAAAACAAAAAAGCTTTCATAAACACTATTAATTGAACATCTAATTCCCAAAAGATCAGTCATCTGCTGCATGCTAGGGATGTTAAAATACGTTTATTTTTGTAAATGTGCAACCATTGAAATTTTCAGCAGTTACATGTTTACAAGTTTTAAAACATACAAAAGGAAGTTTTTCTTCACTCAACGCAGAGTCAATCAGTGGAACTCCTTGCCAGAGGATGTGGTGAAGGCTAGAACTTTAACAGGGCTCAAAAAAAAAGCTAGATAGATTCATGGAGGTTAGGTCCATCAATGGCTATTAGCCAGGATGGGTAAGAATGGTGTCCCTAACCTCTGTTTCGCTGGAAGTGGGTGACAGCGGAGGGATCACATGAGGATTGCGTGTTGAGATCCCTTCTTCTGGGACATCTGGTATTGGCCACTGCCAGCAGATAGGATACTGGGCTAAATGGACCTATGGTCTGACCCATTATGGCCGTTCTTATTCTTTTAAGTAGGGGAGCAGATGGGAGCCAGTGCTCGTAGGGAAACAGCTCCTGCCACCCCTGCTGCCTATGATACAGAGGCAGCCGGGGGGGAAAGGCTGAACCTATGTGGGTTAACCAATGAAAACTTCATTGAAAGTCTATGTAATAAGACCAAACACACGACTCATAAATGACAGCAAAAGTCATCTGTACAATTGCGTCAGGGAAAACTAACGAGAACTTGAATTTAGCTACAAACTATGGGTCGGCCCTCTCTAGTCCAGAACCCTCGGGACCTACCAGTTCCAAACCAGACCACAGGAGGTCAATATTGTCTAGCAGCATTACCAACACTTCACTGCTTTTTGAGCGGTTAGAGGCTATTTAGGGGTAAATTTGAACGAAACAACAGCAGTGAACACTGAGAGCCAGGACTGGTGGCTGTAAACTAACTTTATGGGACTACGGGAAACTTGGCCACACCCATGAAAAGTAGACATCTGACTAACTAAAATCATCCTTGACAGATATTTCTGTACCAGTGAGTTCTGGATTAGAGGTTCAACCTGTACTACAGTAAAACTCCATTGGTCCAGCCTCCAATGCTCCAGCACTCCTGATGGTCCGGTACCATCAGGAACCCGGAAGTGCTCCGGGCAGCCGGACAATTGGAGTTGCTCTGCGCCCGGCTTCCCCCATTCAGCCGCTGCTGAAACTGACCAGCAGCTGAATCGGGGAAACCGGGGGCAGAGCAGCTGGGGGTCTGCTGGGTTGGTCCCGTAGTGCTGCCCCTAGGGGGCATCCCTCCCACCCCACCCGAGACCGCTCATAGCCCCCCCTTCTGATAGTCCGGCATATCTGATAATCCGGCACCCCCTGGGTTCTAAAGATGCCAGATTATCAGAAGTTTACTGTACTAGATTTGTTTTGCCATGTATAATACAGTTTAAAGCGTGTAGGTGTGGGTGGGTGTTTGTGTGTGGTGGCAGGAGTGGCCTGAGCCCGGCTGTGGCAGCTGGCGCCCCAGGTGGACAGCACAATTGGCGCCACCCTCCCTCCCCGCACAGCCGGCAATGGTCATGATGTCATCATGGAGCACCCCAGCACCCCGTGACATCATCAACC